ATGGAAGTGCTGTAGATGTTTAAGACAAAGAGCAATGCTAGACGAGCGGAACACAGTCATACTGATTGTTACCCAGAGTGATTGAATTGCCCCTTCATTCTGGTCCCATCGCTTCTACGCGTGGCAACAAAAACATTACAAAATAAGAGTTTTTCTTTATTTTTCGACATTCAATCCACATTTGTCTACATTTTTAGATCTTCGTAATGACTTAATAATACATTTCTTTGTATAAAAATATGAATATGACTGAAAAATGCGAACACACACGGGCTGGCAGTATCGTACGAAGTAAAGCTCACAAAGCTACACAAAATGTCATACAAGGCGAAATGCTAGCGATTGAGGAGATGATCAGAAATGCTGCTGTTGTCTTCTTCGGTTGCAGTGCTTTCAAACGACCAGCTCTACGAACTATTCAATGGGTACACGATGACCAGTTGGGCGGTTATCCTCGTTTACTTTTTCGACCCACTTTGTGCCATTCGCTGAAACCGACGGCTCCTGGATAGTAGTAGACCTCCATCACCCATTTCCGATACGAATCTCGAGATATCACCTGCAAAATGTCATAGTTATTGCTCTTCATTGGTAACTACTTTCCGTTCTGGGGGGCATTTTTGATGTTGTCATTGTTCGGGAGATGCAAGCCGAAACCTTTTTTGCGCTGTGTTTAATTAGGCGGAGGTGGTGTAATGGTCCGAGGGTCAGATCCAGGATCGGCTGGTCCCGCCCACTCCAATCAAGCCTCCCATCTTCCGGGAACGGTAAAGTGGCACCAAATTCATCTGGGAGAATAAGAGCGTTGACTTGTACATTGGCTGGACCCCGCAAGTCATTGTATAGATCACATGGCAATTAATAAGTCACTACGATTCTGAATGGAAGTAGAATGCGTGGCCACGACCTCTTCCCCCTCCCGATCCTCCCCACCTAGTAAGTCTTGTTCTATCTCTCTCTTCTTCATTGAGAAGTTCGGAGAGGATGGGCAGCTAGAGTGTAAGTAAGTTCAGGCAAATGGGCGGCTATTATTTCTAGTATCAATATTTACTTGTGAACCCTATAGTTTCATTGCTCTGAAGCTTACAAAAAATATCGGATGGGAAGGAACGAATCTCCTCCAAATTATAGAATATTCGTCACATGGAGGGAAACTCGAACTAATTGTCCATTATATTTGTGGATATATTACCAATACGTAGTCGCTAAATCATTCTACAAGGAGGAAAAAACAAAAAAAAATCATGGATTAAGCCAACTTATTACTAAACCAGTCGGCTCGCCGGCTAACGCCGGCGCGCCTCCTGCTGGTACGGCCCGGTTGCGCCGGGCGGGCGCGGCTTCGCCGCGCGTCTTTTTTTCACATATTCTAGACTCAACTGATATCCGCCTTTTGTTCTGTACTCCACTTTTTTCCGGTGTCTGAAGTACTCTTGAGCTATTTTACAGATTCTTCGTCTGACTCCGCCCACCTCGGAGCAGGCCCCGCCCACAATGTTTGTGCCCACAATCCTCACCGGCGACCCTCTGCTGACCTTAGTCCACTTTTTTCCGGTGTCTGGAGTGTTCTGGAACCGAGCTACAAACTTTTAAAATGAATACCCTGCGATTTAGGGCAAGCTCCGCCCACTGTGGGCGGGTCTCAACACACTTTGAGCGTGCCCTATATTCGCCAGATATTTACATTCTACACTGAGTTTTTTGCGACTTCCAAAACTCGCGAACCGGGTTACTGAATTTTGCGGGGGAAGCACCGCACCGCCTACCTTGAGTACGCCCCTCCCATTTTGGAGGTCTGCCACAGTTAGTCTGGCGACTCCTTACTAACCTTATCCCTTTTTCCCCATCTTTAAGCTGCTCCGGAAGCGAATTATGAACATTTTTCTGCGGAACCCCAAACTTTCGGCGAGTGCCCCGCCCACTGTGGGCGGGGCTTCCCATAGGTCAAGTGTGCTTTTTATTTCTTGTCCCATGCCCTACCCATCCCCACCTTGACCCGACCTCTCCAAGTCGTTCTTCAGGTCGAATTTCCGGACAGACAAACAAACTTACAAACAAACAAACAAACTTACAAAACAAACAAACAAACAGAACGAAGCGAATTATATATATGGGGTGGGGTGATGGGGTGATACTGAATAAGACTCTCGGCAGCCTCTCTGGACGAGTTCTCCGGATCTGCTCGCATTATGCCAGCTAGTTGATAATGTGCCTTCTCTAACTCACTAATCTTTTCTTTGCGTCTTCCAATGCAAACAAAGTACGAGCAGACTGTGAAAAAAAAAAACGAAAAGCACGGTGTAAAAACTGAACTGGCGACAGAAAATAGCAGTTGTGTTTTGGTGGGCGGGACAACTGGGGAGGCGTAAGAACTGCCACTTATGGAGGGCAACAGCACCTTCTCCTCTTTGTGAAACCACGAAAAAGGGATACTCCTAGACAGAGCGCCAGATTACTTGTACAAGGAAGGATGCCCTACGAGTTATTTGACCAATTCAAAGGCGTTGGTTAAAGTTCTAAGCCATCCACTCAGCTGATTGGTGCGGGGGATTTTGACTACATCCGAGGTCGCTGTATGGCACGGCGACCTTCGTCCACCAGTTACCTTTCTAATAAAAGTCTATCCTCTTCACTAGGGCCTTAAACGTTGCTCTCGAGCTTAGGGCGTCCCATGCTAAATTTGGCGGGGTTTTTTTCGTCAATTTTAGTGTTCACTTGAGCCGACCAAGATTGTTAACATTTATTAGGCCAACGTTTCGGCTTGTTCGCCTTCGTCAGAGCCTGAAAGAGTCAAAAGCAGATGAAACGCGCCGAAACGTTGGCCTAATAAATGTTAACAATCTTGGTCGGCTCAAGTGAACTACAAAATTGACATCACAACCATGCCGAGATTAAGGGATAGTCGGTCCTGGTCGGTTTCGTCGTTTTTTTTTCTTCTCATCTACGGTTGACCTCAGTCTCATTTGTGGCACTGCATCGTCAGTTTCCAACTTCTCATCGCGAAACTTGATAATTAGATTTGAAGGTCATTTGCGGTATGATATGTCTTATCGGGATGAAAGGTGGTGTAATGGCAAATGAAACCTCCTGCCGTGCGAACAACCTTCTTGCGGATCTCGGATCGACTCCCACCGGGATCAACCTGCCTTTTTCTTCTAGAGCTTGCTGATTGGTACCGTACATGTCTGGGCACTGTTCAGCCGTTGGTCAGCTTTTGGATGTCACTGTGCCAGCCAAAATACGTACAAAAGCTGCTACCAATGTAGAGTGGAAGTAAAATTCGTGATGCTCCCAAGGAGGCGCTGAAGGCTTTACCCGTTGTCCTTTTACCTTGAGAGTGAACGAGGTCCCAGAAACCGTAAGTGGTGCTCCCCTAGGGGACATGAAGCTCAGCGTAGAAGTCAGAATAGGTTCAAGACCGTCGCACGACCCATTCCACCAATGGGCGAGCACATGTAGTGAAATCGCCGGGATTATTGGAATCTAAAATGAAAAGGATCTGGTAACTGGTACAAATGGTCTCCAGAAACGAATTTCCCAACAGGTACCGGGAAAGAACAACTCGTCGAAGAAAAAATGAATAATCGTTATGCTCGTCGGGCGTTTTTTCCATTTCCGTCATGTTTTTTCATCCCAACGGACCAGTTTTACTTGACAATTAACTGAAACAGGGAGGTGAAGGGAGCTGTAAAAATATTGCGAAAACAGAAAAAGAGCTGAAAAGGAAGAGCAAGTGAAAACATTGAAGGCGTAATTCAGGAAAAGCCGAAAGAGGTCTTTCTTGAAACGGAATCTGTCTTGTTCTTCATGTTACTGTCCGAATCACAAACAACCTGAAGGGATAACTCAGCGGGCATTGCTTTAAACTTCGTATCCGCGAGGTGGAGAGGGCGTGGTCGTCCACTTTGTCTGAACGTGACGTCGGCTGCGCTTCTAATAGGCTGTTTTCGTTTTGTGATCGTAAGCATGTCCTTGTTCAGCATGCTCAGTGCCAGGCGTTCAAATTGGAAGAAAACCAACGAAAAACGCATTTCATGAAAGCATTCTCACTATTTTCAAATGAAGTGCGCAGCCACGCCCTCCCGTCCTCCGGGGATACTGATCATATATTCCACATGTTTATGGAAGCCTCCAAAAAGGCTACCTATGTTTCACCTAAGCAACCGATGAAAAGACAACACGGCATATCATCC